CTCGAGGCAGGCTCAGCGCGGCGGCGTCGGCCCGCGCCCGCTTGGCTGGCGGACCGCCAGCGGGCGCCCAGCGGGTGGCCGACGGCGGCCAGCTGCAGGGGCGGGGGCCACGGCCCGCTGGCGCAGCAGCCGCCGCACGGCGCTGCCGTTTCGCCTCCTGGCCGAACTCGTCCTCCATGACGGCGCCGCTGCGGCCGCGAGCAGCTCGAAGAAGGAAAGCGACCTTGTCGCTGAGGCTCGCATCCGCAGGCAGACCACGGGGAGGCGAGGACGGCTCCGCGCCCGTGGCGCTCCTCGCCTCCCTTTCACACTCCTTTCCCGCAATTTATCACAGGGTGCGGGCAACTGTCTGACCCAGCCGAAGGACCTGGGGGTGCCGCTCCCAGCGGGACTGGCCCCCCCAGGTCTGCCGCCTCGAGGACCGAGTCGCCCAGCGCGTCCCCGATCGCGTCGTCCCGTGCGGAGCGGGCCTCCACGCAGGTGGCGTCGCCCAGCAGCTCGCACCCCATCACAGTGTCGGCGAGGGCCTTTGGCGAGAGCCGCTTCGGGATCAGCGGTTCGCACGGAGCTAGGCCGATCTCCCTCACGGATCGACCCGCAGCGCCAGCGCCTTCACGCATCTCCTCCCCGATCGTGTCGCCCAGCTCGTGGTGACCCACCTCGTCCAGCGCACCTTCGGCCTCAGTGCCCCGCGCATGGGGGGCAGCTGACTCCTCCAGGTCTGCCGTCGCGACCGAGTCGCTCTTCACAACAACCTCCCGCTCGATGTCGGTGGCGCGGGGCCTTGGCGAGAGCCGCTTTGGGATCAGCGGTTCGCGCGAGGTTAGGCCGATCTCCCGCACGGATCGACCCGCGGCACCCACGCCTCCACGAACAGCATCACCCATCATGGCGTCGTCCAGCAGGTGGTGGACCACCCCGTCCAGCATGACATCGGCCTCCGTGTTCATCGCCAGAGGAGCGGCTGGCCCCTCCCTGACTGCTGCCTCGAAGACCGAGTCGCTCGTCACAACAACCTCCTGCTCTGCGTCGACGGCGTGAGGCCTTGGCGAGAGCCGCTCTGGGATCAGCGGTTCGCACGAAGTTAGGCCGATCTCCCGCGCGGATCGACCCGCAGCACCCACGCCTTCACGAAGAGCGTCTCCATCCGCGTCGTCCGTCATGTAGTGGGCCGCCTCGTCTGGCTCGCGGTAGGCCTCCGCGACCAGCGCAGGGGGGGGGGCAGGCCTCCTCGTCGCTCTGCGGCCCGCGCAGCAGCTCGTGCAGCACGGCGTCGACGAGCCAGCAGCCTCGGGCCTATCACCAGCTCGGCCTCCTTCCTCACGAACCTGCGCTGTCCGCTGACCTTCGGCCACAGGCCACGCGCCAGCCGCTGGAGGTAGTCGCGACCAGCCCGCGAGGGGCGACCCAGGCATCTGGCCCGCAGGCCTAGGCCCACCATGCGACCCGCAGCGGCCACGAAGCACCCGCAGCATACACAGAACCACACGTCCAGGCGCTCGTGGAGTCGTAGAAAATGGGAAGCATGAGGCCGACCTCCTCCGATGCGCGGGAGGCCCTCCCGCAGCATGAGTGTGGAGGGCCCATCGCGCAGCAACCCTGGACAGCGAGATGCCATCCACTGCGATCGCACGGAACGGGGGGCCGAACACCTGCATCTCAAGCAGCTGCCTCGGCTGCCCAACGCGTGCGACGAGCCGAAGGCCTCCACTATACTGGGAGCAGGTGGGGCCTGCCGCCGTCGCCTCGCACGTCGCACCGATGGCGTGAACTCGGCCTCGGCGCCCAGCGCGTCCAAGGTGGCCCGCAGCAAGCGCCGTCTGACCACCAACGCCATCTGCTCGGCCTGGAGCACCCGTCCTCTCTCTGTGGCAGGGAGACGGGCCAGCTCAGCGGCTTCACCTGCGAGGACGTCGGCGACCGCATTGCCCATGATCAGCCATGGCGGGAGGCCACGCCGCGCGGCCTCGTCCATGTCCAGGTGCGAGTTCACGTGCTCCACGACGAACTCCGACCTGTCCCTCGCCAGGAAGAGCTGGCCCAGCAGGGCCCACAGGTCGCAGTCAACACCCTGCGGCCGCTGATCACGCCTGCTCCACCAGCCCATGCTGACTGCCAGGTTGTCGGAGACGTAGACCGTCGGCCCCAGGGAACCCTGCGCAGCAAGCACCAGCGCACGTAGCTCCCCGCGGTGCACGGTCTGCACGGGGCCGCTGAGGCTGCCCCAGACGGCCTTATCCAGCGTGCCGCTGAGCAGCTGGATCTTGGCCACGGCGAGCCCGACCCGTCGAAGATGTGGCACCTGCCCTTCATGTCCCCCGCTGGCGTCGCCGAAAAGGATGAGGGGGTCGAGCTCGGAGCCACGTCCAAACTCACCAGGGGCAACACCATCGGCACGATGGCCCTGCAAGAAGATCCACGAGTCGCCGTCGGGTGGGGCGCTGACCTCCGTCCATCTGGCAGGGAGGAGGCCCCTGAACCAGAAGGCGGCGTGCGCCTCATGGTCGGTGGCCGCTCGGCCGCTGAACTCGTCGCTGTCGTCATATGCTTTGCTGCCCGTATTGCACGGGCAGCTCCAGTACCTGTGGTAGGCAGTCTCCTCAGCTTCTCCACAGCGCGGGCACGTCAAGAGCTCAGAGTCACCGAAGGCCTCACTCTTTCTGGCTCGCGGCCAGGCGCCTCCGACAGCGATGGTGGCGAGCAGCTCCTCAAGCGCAGGCCCTCCAGGGAGCCGCCTGAGCCTCTGAAGGAGACTCTGCAGGGATCGCAGGTCAGCTCCTCCTTCCAAGCCAGCTCCGCACCAGTGACCTGCCGCGCGCTGCCACAGGTCCTCCTGGACTGAGGCGTCGAAGGCGTCGAGGATGGCCTGGCAGGAGCCCTCGGCGATGCTGACTGCGTCGGGAAAAGCCCACCGTTCACGAGAAACATCCTGAAGGTGTCGCTCCCAACCTCGAGGACCCACATGACACCAGCCGTACTGCAGCAGCATAGCCTGCAGGGCGGAGATGGGGCCACGCACCAGCCTCGACCTCTCCTCGGGGGGGGGGGGGCTTCGCGCAGCCTGGCATGGATGGGGATCCAGGCGCGCTCAACCCGCTGACGTACCTCCTGGCTGCCTCTCCACACCTCGAACCAGTTCTTGAGGAACGCCCGAGGGAGGCGCCGTGCAGGGTCCAGGGCTCCCGCGCGGAGGGCCAGCTGCGTGGTGAGGCACCTCCCGCGCTTGACGGCGCCTGTGACTGACGCCAGCCGCCTTCGCAGCTCGGCAAGCCTGCTGCCGAAGGCGCCGAAGATCTCGAGGCCGTAGTTCGCTGCCGTCTGGGGGCAGACCTTCTCGACGAACCCACACTTCAGGTATTGCCTCGATGCCTTGGCCATGCCTCGGAGCCGCTTGCTCGCCTGCCTCGTCTTGCCGAAGCGCTTCGAGATCGTGGAGCGCACAGGCCGTCTGCCCGCCGCAAGGTCAACCCCGAGGCATGTGCCGAAGGAAGAAGCCTGGACGGTGAACCCGTGCGGCTTGACGATCTTCGCGACCCTGCGGGCGTCCTCCAGCTGCGAGCACACCACAACACTCTTGGGGGAGAGCGCAAAGCCCTCCTGCTGCACGCCCTGCCCGAAGTCGCGGATGCCCTGCGAGACGGCAGCGACTACAGCGGGACGAGAGCCCACCGCGGAGAGGGAGAGGTCGTCTACCCAGATCCGCGACGGCAGGAGCTGAGGCATCCCCTGTGGGGCCCCTGTGGCGAGCCGCTCCATGGCGAAGTACGTCATGCACCTGCCGAAGCGCGTGCCCGATCGCACTCCCTGGACAACCGACTGTGAGGGGATCACGAGCCTCGAAGCCAAGCCGTCCTGCAGCAGGACGCGCCCCGCCATGCACTGCTGCAGCTCCAGGGCCAGGACGGCGGGCGGGAAGCCGCACCGAAGAGCGGCCCGAACCAGCCCCGCCCACGGCATGCTGTCATAGAACTTCTGAATGTCCACCAGGCCGTGCGCGTAAGAGACGCCCATGGCCGCGTAGGACTCCTCGCACACGGCCCTCGCGAAGGCCTCCCGCAGCGAGGAGTGCCAGCCACTGCCGCGTCCCACGCTGGGGCCGTGCGGCGCGACCACTCCCGCATGGCGTCCTCCCTGGCCATGCTCCAGCAGCGCGTGGCCATGCTGAGGACGCCGATGATGCGCTCGCCCCCGCCCTTCTTCTCCAGGACATGGCCGAGCACGAGGCGGAGCTGCTCTGGCCGCGTGGCCGCCCGCTCGGCGGCGGTGTAGAGGTCCGCCAGCTCCTGCAGCGCCGCGTCAGGGAGCCTGGCCAGGTCGCCCACCGAGAACTGGTCGATGCCCTTGCCCGTCTTGGGCCGCATGCGCAGGAGGGCCCGACGGATGTCAGCCACCGTGATGGGCTCCATCTCCTCGCACTGCACCAGCTCGCGAAGCTCGCCGAAGAGCGCCTGCAGGTCGCTGGGGTCGTAGGGACGCGGAGCCCACAACCCACTCCACGCATCAGCCTTGGCGTCGAGGATGCCACGCGGGTGCACGAGGATGCGGCTGCCGACCAGCACCTCATCCGCTGCTGACTGTCGCTCTCTCAGCGAGCGAAACACCAGAGGAGTGGCCTCCTCGGCGCTAATCCACTGACGGAACTCGCGCAGGGAGGCCTGGACAGCGACCCTCCGAGCACGCACTGCCGCCTCCTGAGCCGCCTCCTCCAGCGCTGTCAGGCCCTCATCAAAAATGGTGTGCACGTCCTCCAGGCTAGCGACCAGAGCGCTGAACCTGGGAGACCTTCCAGCGCGAGGAGGGGAGGCTCGTTGACCTCCATCTGCTGCATGCTGGTGCCGAGGTTGCCCGATGGGGCGCCCGCCGTTCCTGATCCGATGATAGCACTTCTTGGCCTGCGCGGGGACATGCTGGCTCAGCTCGCGCCCTGCTGCACGCAGGAGCAACCTGTCCTCGACTGCCTTCTTGCTGCGACGACGGAGCTTGCCAAGCCGACCGAAGAGCGCTGCCACTGAGGCCCACCACCTCGCTGCCGCCCCGCGCAGGGGCTCCTTCCACGCCGCGGAGCTCGCGCCCTGCATGGCGGGGGCGTCCACCAGCTGAGCCCTCTTGCTGCGTGAGACGCTGCCTGCATACCGCTGGCCATGCTGGCGGCAGATGGCGCGCTCTACGTGGGCTGCCCACTCGGCGTACTGAGCGCTGAGCTGCACCAGGAGGGGGCCGCCGACCAGGAGGGCTGCCGTCTCATCCTGCCCCAGAGGCTCGGGGGCGGCCTTGCGGGGGCCAGCGACCGTGTCGAACCAGACCGCGTCCTCCAGTTGCCACTGGTACTGCTCCCCGCTGCCGTCGCGATCATGGGGCAGTGGGGCGCGGGGAGTGGCCGCCCCCCCCCCCCGCGCTCCTCCTGAGGGCGCAGGGAGTGGACGTCCTCCCCCCCCTCCTGGCGACGGCTGCGGGGAGGCAGGGCGGCCGCGCCCACAGGGGGCCCCTCGGGCGGGTCGCTCTCGAAATCCCCGAACTGCTCTGCGGCGAGGTCCTCGAAGGGATCGACGTCCATGTCGTCAAGCCTCGCCCGAACGCGGCCTGAGGGGGCCGCGAGGGAGGCCTGGCCGAACTCGGGGACATCCCAGCCGTCGCTCTCACTGCGCTCGTCGGAGGTGTCCGAGCCCGCTGAGCCCGTGCCGGTGGACGCCTCCTCTACCGCTCTGGCCTGCACGTGGATGCCGTAGAGCTGCTCGTGTAGGTCCAGCTCCTTCTCCTTGGCGAGGGCGCGGCGGTCAGCTTCCTCTCCCGACCGACCTCTCCGCGTGCTGGTCCTCTCCTTCCTCGGGCGCGAGGCCTGCGGCAAGCTCTTGGCGAGCGCCAGTCGACGGCCCTGAAGCACCTCATGGCCTGCCCGAAACTCCACCACGAGGCCGCAGTGGGTCTTCCAGGGCACGGCCGCTGTGGCCCACATGCCCGCCAGCAACGGCGCGCGCGAGGCCGAGCACAATCCATAATCAATGTGTGAGCCCTCCTTACCTGCGTCGCAGGTGGTGGCTACCTTAGCCTGCACCACTTGGGCTCCGACTCGCTGTAGGAAGCCTGCACCTCGCAAGGTCTCGCTCTGCATGTTGAAGTCGCCGATGACCAGCCACGGGATGCGTATGGCCTGGAGGAGCCCTCCCAACTTGGCGAAGCGACGAACGTTACTTCCTCTCCAGCCCGTGCCACTCACGCCGTAGAAGGTCACCACCACCAGCGAGCCCCCGCCCTTGAGGTGCAGCACACTGGCCTGGAAACCGTCGGCGGCAGTGGCCCCAGGCGCAGCAAGACCCACGTCCGTGCTGCCCTCAAGCGTGTGCGCGAACTGACCGCGCTTGCACAACAACCACTCGCCGCCTTCACACCCCGCGACAGTGGATCCTTCCAAGAGGCCCTTCCTGGAGGGCCTCGCATGATTGGCCAAGATCTTGAGGTCGAGCTTCTTGGCTGCAACACGCCACTTCTTAAAGTGGCTCCCCTGCACGTGTGTCTCGACGAAACAGAACGTGTTGAACCGCTCGATCGACTCCTCCACAAATCCCCACGCCAGTGGTCCCATCTCCGTGACATTCGCAAAGAATAAGCGATGGCCCCCACTGCAGACAAAATTGGAGTCGATCTCCTCGACACCACCCTCGAGACTCGTGCCGGCGCGGGCCGAGCCAGCATGGGCTGGGCCCGCGGCCCCCCGTCAAGCTGAGGCTGTGGGGGCCCCGCTAGCCGCTGAGGCTCCTGGCTCGGCTGCGGGTGTGTCGGAGAGGCCTGCCTCGGCGGTCGGGGCCCCGCCCTCGGCGCTGGACTGCGCCGCGGCCGCCCCGCCAGCAGCAGCCGTCTTGGCGGCCCTCGCGGCAGAGAGCTTGGCGGCGCTGATCTGCTTGGCAGCCTGCTCGATGGAGGCCACTCCCTTCTCCGCGGTGCCGCCCGCGGAGCCGCCCAGAACCACTGCCTTGCCGCCGAGGACCGCGTCGCTCATCACGGCGTCGCCCTCGCCGATCTCGCTGAGGCGGTCGGGCGAGTGGGAGCCCTTCCGCTTGCGCAGTGACATCTTCACAGCGCGCACCTGCTGGAACTTATCCTTGATAGCCTTCGCCCTGCCCGCCAAGTCGGCCTTGGCTGCGTTGAGCGAGGACCCCAGCTGCTTCAACTCCTCACGCTCGGACGGAGAGAGGTCGCTCACGTTCGTGAAGACACCTGGGTCCCACGTGAGCTGGAAGATGTCCTCGCTGAGGTCCTGCTGCCGCTCGACCTCGGCGGCCTGGCGCGCCACCGCTGCTGCGGCGACACGCTTGGAGTGCTCCGCCTGCGCCAGCGCCACGGCCATCACGTTCTCCTTCTCACGCGCCGCTGCGAGCTGGTCCTCCAGCCTGATCACCGCGTCCACTGCGCCCTGGTGTTTCCTGGCCGCCTCCTTGTGGAGCCATGCCGCCTTGCGGAAAACCTCATCAGGCGGCTTGGCCTCCACGACAGGCGGGGGCGGCGCCACCAGCTTCCGCGCCAGCTCGATGGCAGCAGCCGCCTGGGGCTCCTGGCCCTCGGAGGCCGCCAGCTGCGTGAGGACGGAGGACAGGTCCGAGGTCCTGCTCCCGTCGCCCGTGGAGCTCGCGTCGCCGTCGGTGGGCCCCTGCCGACGCCATGGACACTGCGTGAGTGAGCCCGCGCGGCCCAGGCTGGCTGGGGCCACCGCGGAGGCCTGGCGCCGCGGGTGCCGACGGAACGGCTCGACGGCGTTCCCGCAGCTGCACTGCCAGAGCTCCTGACACCAGCTCTTGTTCCAGCGCCACGAGGAGCAGCCCGAGCAGCGCGTCCAGTCCTCCAGGAACGGCACCACGAGAGCTGCCCCAGCCGCGGGCCGCGGCGCAGCCGAGCGAGGACGGCGCGGGCCCATCCCGAAGTTTGGCTCCGACTTGGTCGGGGCTGGTCGCGACGCCCTGGGCGTGGCGACAGCAGCCCGTAGTCAAGAACACCGCGAAGAGGTGCGGAGCCTGGCCCAAGGGCGCCCGTGGGCGCGATTGTGCCAAAACGGTTCTTGAGGAGGAGGAGGAGGAGGAGGAGGAGGAGTAGGAGGGAGGAGGGGAGGAGGAGGAGTAGGAGGAGGAGGACGGGCCGCCTAAGCCCTTCGGAGAAAGCCTCCAGGCCCAGAAGGACCCGAAGTGGTCTGGGCCTCTTCCTCCCGACCCCGGCGTCCGTGACGGCGGGCGGCTGCCGCTCCACCGAGTGGATCGACGCCCGCGCCCGCGCGTAGGCGCTCCACGGGCCGCGCGGTCGGCTGGAGCCCCCGGGGGCCCGGGGCGGCCGCGGGGATCGGGCCGCGGGAGCCGGCGTCCTCCTCGGGGCGTCCTCCTCCTCCTTCCTGTGTCCTCCTCCTCCTCCTTCCTCCTCCTCCGCGCTCCCTCCTCCTCCTCCGTCCTCCATCCTCCTCTCCTCTCCTCCTCCTCCTCCTCTCTCCTCCTCCTCCTCCTCCTACTCCTCCTCCTCCTCCTCCTCCTCCTCCCCGCCTCCTCCTCCTCCTCCTCTCCTCCGCCTCCTCCTCCTCCTCCTCCTCCTCCTCCTCCTCCTCCTCCTCCTCTGCCTCCTGCCTCCTCCCCTCCTCCTCCTCCTCCTTCCTCCTCCTCCTCCTCCTCCTCCTCCTCCTCCTCCTCCTCCTCCTCCTCCTCCTCCTCCTCCTCCCCCCTCCCCTCTCCTCCCCCCTCCTCTCTCCTCCTCCTCGGGCCCGCGGGCTGCCAGGCGAGGCGAGGTGAGGCGAGCGCGCGAGTTCGGTGCGGCGGGACCGGCCCTCACGTGGCGGCGCGGGGGGGCAGGAGCCCTCGGGAGACGCGTTATGCGGGCAGGAGTCGGAGCCGGAGCCGGAGTAGGAGGCCCGAAGGCCCAGAGGTGCGACGCTCCGAGCAGAACTGGGGCAGGCGGTGTTTGGCCGCTTTCGGGCCTCGGGGGCGAAGAACCCGCCCCAGGGAAGCGGTCTGGACCTCCGGGGCCCGTGCATCGAGAAGAATTGGAGCAGCCGGATGTCTGGGGATGGGGTCCGAGTAATCAGATGGGGTCGGAGGATCACGCCGACGTCGCCGATGCGTCGGCGATGCATCGGCGATGCATCGGCGATGCATCGGCGATGCATCGGCGATGCACTGGCGACGTCGGCGACGCATCGGCGACGTCGGCGTGAATAAAATCGGGCTCCGCATCGAGCCGCATCGCTAATGCGTCAGCAGTGCGGCGCGATCAACGTCCTCGCCCCCATCCTGCGCCCCTTCCCTCCCAGACCGCTCGCGTTGTGAAAAAATCACGACGAGAAGACGTTCGCTAATTTCGGGCTCCGGGGGCCCTTCCTGAGCCTCGGAAGCGGGGATCACATCCGGAAAGATTCACGACGTCGCGATCTGGGTCCCTCCCAGACACGCGGCCGAAAAAAAATCGAGACAGAGGATTTTCATTCGTGGGGCGCGAAATCAGAGGGCGATCAATGGGGGGGCAGAAAGGTGCTCTCTTCGGGCCCTGAGTGAAGGCCCCCTTTGGGGCACTAAAGGGCCTCTTTTGGGGCCCAGCCCTCGCTGCCCCACTCATTGATCGCCCCCCCATTACGCGGCCTCCAATTCGGCCTTTCGGGGCCTTGACTGGGCCTCGGGGCCGTCAAAACATGACTTGGGATGAAAGACCTATCACGGGGAACTGGTCGAGAGGTCGGGGGCCCGTGTCTCGAAACAAAAACCGAGACACGGGTTGTCTGGGCTCCCTGGAGGTCCCGATCCCCTTCCCAGGGCCGGTTTGGGACCCAGTATACGGGCCCTCGGCTGCCGAACAGAGTCAAACCTCCGTCCTGATCTTGTTCAAGACGCTGCATGTCTAGGAAGCGAATTCCTGGCGTCGCATTTGCTTCACAACGGGCGACTTGAGGAGGAGGAGGAGGAGGAGGAGGAGGAGGAGGAGGAGGAGGAGGAGGAGGAGGAGGGAGGAGGGAGGAGGAGGGGTCTAAAACACTCGAAGGCATTCGTTTTTGAGGCCAGAGCCCTGCGCGCCGCCTCGCTCCGGGCAACCGTGCCGCGCGTTGGGCCCTGGAGCCATCGCAGATCGGCCCAGCTCGAGAGGTGCCGCGCCGAGAAGACTGGGACTACAGTCGGGACGTTGACCTAAGGAACCCTAAATCAGGAACGAGGCCCCTTTTTCCCATCAGTTAAAGTTCGATTTCCCATCGAAAACCTAAGGAACACCTAAGGCAAGTTGTGAAACCATCAAGGAACACGGAGCCCCTCCCCAACGAAAAGGGTTCCTTCTTCAGCACCCCGACTGTAGGGCTGTGGCCGCGAATTTCCGCGATGCTGCAGTCATTCGCTACGTCGGACCTCAGAGTTCGCAGCACAGTCGTCGTGCTACCATGAGGAGCGCATGATGAGGAGCGCGGGAGCGTGTCTGGCCAAGGCGGGCCCAGGCCACAAACCGGTCCCACGACATGAGATCGAAGGGCCCGAAAAAACCGAGCCCCTCCTGAGCCCAGAGCGGTCTTTTCGGCGCCCTGACTGTAGCAGATTTCGCCCGCACCCCTCTTCCAAATCCCCTCCTCCTCCTCCTCCTCCTCCTCCTCCTCCTCCTCCTCCTCCAAATTGGCATTTCGCTCGAGCGTTTGCTTTGGTGGCCAACTATCTCTGGGGCATTTGCAGTTTCCCGCCGCCGCCTATGGCTGCCGTGGCGCGCCTGGACTGGATCTCCGAGCAGGTCAGCGCCGGCCGGCCTGTCTTCGTCTCCTTCTCGTTCAACGCCGCCACCGCTCGCGAGAAAGTGAAGTTCTCGCTGCCACGCGGACCCGCTGCGCCGGGGGTTCCACGCTTCGCTGTTCTCGGTGCTCTTGCTGGGCTTGCCTCTGCTGTGCCGCACTGCGTGGTCACCGACAAGGGCCACGACTCCCACACCACCAACTGTACCATCGTCGAGTTCTGGCTGCGGCCGGCTCCAGCTGGTGCAGTCAAGGAGTGCTCGCCGTCCGAGGTGTCGGACACGGCTGCTGTCTCAGGCGATGGCGGCGGGGCAGGCGATGCAGCAGCGCAGGCCATCCTCTTCACGGGCAAGGGCGAGGACGAGGGCGGGGAGGGCGTGGACACGCGCATGCACGATGTTTCTGTGATTGGCATTGGCGGTCGGGGGGAGGAGGCGGCGGCGGCGGCGATTAAACCCCTTGGTCGCGTCGTTCTCGACGGCGTCACTGGGGGCCGAGAGGCGGCGGGCACGAACGGCATTTTCGTGGAGCAGGAGATCCTGTACAGCGGGCGGCGGCTCTGGCGGCAGGAGGTCGACGAGGACTTGTGGATCATGTATCTTGCTGGCCGGTGGTGGATCACGGATACTGCCCTCAAGGATGCTGCGGCGGCCTTCGGTTGGGTTCGGTCTGAGCCGACTACGCTGGACCTAACATTTGTCGCGAGGTGGGAGGTTTACAATGAGAAGCGGATGTGGGTCGTCCTGGACTCCATCGTCGTTCGTGCTCTGCATGGTGCTGGGCATCCTGGTTAACCCGTTCCGCGCGCGGTCCGTGGGCTTTTTCCTCGGCTTCGGCGCCATGCTGTACTTTGTCAACGTGAAGGCGGGCCTGCGCGACGCGCGCGACGGCGCGCCGCGCGAGGGCCCCCGCGGCTTGGGAGACCTGCGCCGTCATCCTCCCTCCTCCTCCTCCTCCTCCTCCTCCTCCTCCTCCTCCTCCTCCTCCTCCCTCCTCCTCCTCCTCCTTCTCCTTCGCCCTCCTCCTCCTGCTCCTCCTCCCTCCTCCCCCTCCTCCTCCCCCTCCTCCTCCTCCTCCCCCTCCTCCTCCTCCTCCTCCTCCTCCTCCTCCTCCTCCTCCTCCGCCGTTCGTCCGACCGAGACGCCGAAGGCGCACGGCGAACTCGAGGAGGCCGTCCGCCTTTCTCGGCCTCTGGGGCCGTCTTCTCGGCCCCCGGGATGGTCAAACGCACGGATCCGGGGTGAACTGCAGCGCCGGAGGGATCCCCAGGAGGGGGCCTGCATGGGGACAGAGTTTAAGCCTTGCCATCGCTCGGACGTCCAGTCCCCCTGCATTTTGTCGGCTTCGCGCGCATGACCTCCGCAGGATGATCCGAGATGCTCCGCGATGGCCCTCGCCGAAAAAATGCACACGCCCGAGCGATGCCGAGGAGCGGGTTTGCCTTATCCCCCCACTCCTGACCGAAATCCTGGCCGTCATTTGGCCGGTTCCGTCGCCGCTTTTTGCGGGTTCCAGCTCCGGCTCCACTTCCGGAGCCGCTTTTTCGTCGTTTCCGGTTGCCGTTTCTGTTGCCCTTTTTCATCTCCAAGGGACGCTGCTTGGGCAACGAGGACAAAAAAACGCCCTGCCGCTCCCGGGGGCCACGGAGATCCTGGCAGCCTTGGGCTCCCGCTCCCGGAGTGTGGGCGCGCCGGCTCGGGGCGCCGCGCGCGGCGGGCCGCGCCGTGGGACGGCCTGCGCGCGGGCGGCCTCGAGGCACCGCGCGGATCGCCGATCTCCGGCGCTACGGGTGTTTGGTCAATCCTGGCGGCGTGCCTCGATTTTCGGAGCCTGTTCTTCGAGATTCGGGTAGGCTTACGTGCATGGCGTTCGCCCCTCCCTCCCCTGCCCCTCGCCCCTCCTCAAGCGAACGCCAGCGTGCAAGTGCCTCCTGTCGACTTGCGTGATCTCCGCACGTGCACGTCGTGTGTCTGCGGCTTGGTTCAATAGTTCGGCCCCCACCCCCGTCCATGCAAGCAACATTGCCGGAGTCAAAAAAACAAGCTCTCGCCCATCGGGGGCAGTCTTCGGACCCCTTGCCAGAAGACCGCCCCTCGGGAAAGCGGCTGGGACCTCCTTTGAAGAAGAAGAGACGCCATGAACATAAACTTGTGGCGCTCCGCGCGGATTCCTTGGATCTGCGCTGGCCCCCCCTCCCGGGCGCGCGGAGCGCGCCAGGGGCGGCGCCGGAGGCGCCGCCAGGGGGCCTGGAGCGCCAAAAGTTTATGTTTATGGCGTTTTGGTTTTTGGTTTTGGACTCCGCCTAGGATCATCCGAAGACGCCCTTAGGACGCAATGTTTATGGCGTTGCTTCTTCTTCTTCGGCTCCTTGGATGGCCGCCTCCCGATTTGCAGCAGGCCGTGAGAAGTCGGCCGACTCTCCGAGCCGCCGCTGGCGCTCCACCCGGAACACGCCCGCGCTGGGCCCCGCCGCGTCGGCGCGGCGCGAGCCTCTGCGGCACACCGCTCCCAGGGCTCCTGCCTTCGCGCTATTCGCGCTGGGCGAGGAGCGCGAAGAGCCTCGCGCTGTCGCGCCGCCCCCCCCCAGGGGAGAAGAGGAGGAAGAGGAGGAGGAGGAGGAGGAGGAGGACGACGACGAGGAGGAGGAAGAGACGAGGAGGAGGAAGGAAGGAGGAGGAGGGAGGCGGAGGAAGGAGGAGGAAGGAGGAGGAGGAGGAGGAGAAGAGGGAGGAGGAGGAGGAGGAGGAGGAGGAGGAGGAGGAGGAGGAGGAGAAGGAGGAGGAGGAGGACGAGGAGGAGGAGGACGAGGAGGCATCGGGGCCGGGCCGCGGAGCGCGAAGACCTTCGCGCCCCCGGTCGGGCGCCCCTGTCGCTCGGCTCCCGGGTTTCCAGCGCATCGGCGCGGCGCGGGCCCTGCGGCACCTCGCTGGCGCTCGAGCTGCCCTTCGCCACCCGACGTCGTGGATCGCTGCGGGGCGCCCTGGTTCGGGCCGCGGCTGGCCCTGCGAACCTGCAGCGCCCGCGGGGCGGCGTCGCCCCCCCGCCCCCCCCCCGCCAGCGCGGCGCGACCTGCCGTGCCGTGCTCGGCAACTGGGGAGCCTGGCTGGGCGTTCCTGGGCTTCGCTGCCCCGATGCGCAACGCGCAACACGTAAGCAGCGTGGTGACACGGAGCTCGCTCGACACGTGGACTGAAAGAGTAGGTCTGACGCGATGCGTGTACAACAGCGTGGACCACCTCGATCCGATCCAACACCCAGTGTGTTAGCACGGACATGTTGAATATGGCACGTGTTGTGCTTCAGCACGGGCGTACCAGGGCAGCTACAGTTGGGCTGCTGAAAGAAGGAACGCTAAATAAGGAACAAAGCCCTTTGGCCCTGTAAGCGCCTCCGTGCCCCAGGAGGGCAAGAGGAACAGCACTGGAGGAACATAAGGATCATCGAGCCCCTTCCGAACCCAAACTGTTCCTCATTTCAGCGTCTTGGCTGTAAATTCCCCAGGCCCTCCCCGCGGCCCCTCTGGGGGCCAGCCGACCGCGCCGATAACTTCCCGTTCTCTATGCGCCACACCTTCTCGACCACGAACTTGTTGTGCTTGACCCACTTCCCATCGTTCCCCTTGCGGGAGGGCGCTGTACCGTGCGCCGACGCTCGGGTTGGGTGTGGCAAGCCCGTGGGCCTTGGACTGGTGTATGATCTGCCCTGGCCGTTGCCCTGACCAGAGGGGGCCGATCATGCGCCAGGCCTGGGCCCACGCTGAGCCCGGCCAGGTCAGGCGTCGGTTTGCGGCAGGCGCCACCCAGCCTTGCCCATTCGATCTGCGTCAGACCTGCAGTCGAACAACGCCTGCACATGAGCGCCACACTCATCAGTGACGTCAACCTTCCAATGATATTTGTCTCTGAATCGGTAGCGCCACCTCCGCCACCAGTGTGTCAAAGTCCCGCATGGCGCAAGCTGAGATGATAGCGGGTGCAGGTTCCAATATTTCGGCGGTGTCGGTTTGCGTCGCATCCCTGCCCTGTAAGAACACAGGACGACACTGAGCGACACCAGCAAAAAGAGAACGAGCACACCGTAGATCATCCAGCGAGCATCCACGAGCTCTGTGACCACCTCGCAGCAGGAGTCGGTCGACAGCTTCGCGGGGGTGTGGCCGCTGTCCTGCATGCGCCTGACGCACGCCTGCTGCCCGGTGCAGATGAGGAAGTACCGGACCCACGAGGTCCACCAGGTGAAGCGACGATCTCCGTTGGACCTCAGCGAAGCGAAGGCCTTGCAGCTTTGCCCGACATCGACCTTGAGGTCGCAGCTGGTCCCGTTGGCCGCCAGCGGCTGTGCGACGCTCGCGCGGGCGCTCTCCTGCAAGGCCGGGGGGCAGGCGGAGCAGCAGGAGACGAACGGGCACGAGCACGAGGGCAACGACGGCGAGGGTCGGGCCTGGAGCTGGCCACCTCTACACGAAAAGGCTCGCCTTCACGACGGCCACGAGGTGGCACCCAGTCCCCGAAGCAAGGAGGGGTTGTTGGAACAAGAAACATCATCCGCGCTGGAGGCCTCGCCAGGGGGGTCCAACGCCGATCCAAGAGGTCCGCGCGGAGGTCAGAGTACGTAGCAGCCCGCACTGGCGGGTAAGAGCGAGGGCGAGGGGCGGCGGCCATATTTTGCTTTCATGTGTCGGCCCTATGTTTTGCCCTCAAGTATTGCCCCAAAGCTACTGCCCCCGTGCATTGTCCCTGAATGTTGCCCCCGTGCACTGTCCCCAAATCCTGCCGCCACGAATGGCTCTCAACTTTCGCCCCAGTGCGCTGACACCCCACGTAGTGCCTCCGCGTGCTGCCCCCATGCATGCCCCCCCATGCATGACCCGCAAGTGCCGCCCCGAGCGACCGAGAAGTTATCCATCCAGCCGCGCGCGCGCGCAGGGATGACATAAGACCGCTCGGGCGGGGAATTTGTTAATGTGTATACTGTTTTCTCCTCCAAGTTTTGAGGGGGCGATTTTTTCTGCAGCGCGGCCACCATCCTGCCAGGGGGCTTCCATGCGGGACCCTCTTAGCGCGCTCACCACATCCTAAGCGGGCTTCTGATTTTTTCTTGACACCCTGCGCAGGAGCACCCCACCCCCACAAACTCCTACACGCACCCGCAACCTCCTCCTCCTCCTCCTCCTCCTCCTCATCATCATCATCATCATCATCAGCATCATTATCATCATCAACATCAGCATCAGCATCATCATCATCATCATCATCATCATCATCATCATCATCATCATCATCATCATCATCATCATCATCATCATCATCGTTATCATCGTCATCATCATCATCATCAGCAGCAGCATCCTCATCGTCGTCATCATCAATACCACCACCATCATCACCATCACCAACACCATCACCATCATCATCATCATCATCATCAGCATCATCATCATCATCATCATCATCATCATCGTCAGCATCATCATCAACAGCATCATCTTCATCACCATAGTCATCGTCATCGTCATCGTCATCACCATCACCATCACCATAGTCGTACTCATCATCATCACCATCATCATCATCATCATCATCATCATCATCGTAAGCATCATCAGCACGACCGACATCATCATCCTCGTGATCCTAAGCATAACCATCCTAGTCCTGCTCATCATCATGGTCATCGTCATCATCATCGTAGTAATCATCATCCGCATCATCATCATCAACAACATCAGCATCATTATCATCGTCATCCGCGTATTCTTCATAACCTTCTTCATCATCGCCAGCACCATCATTTCCATTAGCATCACCACCGTCGCACCATCCTTACCATCAGCATCATCATCATCATCAGCATCATCATCACCACCACCACTGGCAGCAACACCTCCATCATCATCATCATCACCATCAACATCATCATCACCATCATCATCATCAGCATCATCATCACCAGCATCATCGCCAGCATCAGCATCAGCATCGTCATCATCATGGTTACCAGCATCATCGTCATCGTCATCGTCATCAGCATCATCATCGTCATCATCATCAGCATCAACATCGCGCATACTCTCACACTCACACACTCGCTCCCGCAGTCATCTTGAAGACATTTCGAGCGGGAGCCTCGTCCGTGAGTGATTCGCGAGGAGGCCTCGAGCGGGAGCCCTTCGCAATGTGTGCTCCCCACCTCCATGCTCGAATCCGAGAGGGCCATCGGAATACCTGCGGGCGACGGAACAATAGGCCGGGTTGCTCGTGAGACCGGCCTTCAGACCGTGACAGGTGCGGAAGCTCAGCGCAACAGGGGTATGGCAGCGGGCACGGGGACTACACCAGGTCGGGCAGGGGTGGGGGCGGGAAGGGAGCCACGGAGAGAGGCGAGGCGGTGGAGGAGACGGGAAGACTAAGCGTAATGTGCGAAGTCGTCGGCAGGCCCAGAACTCCGACGTCGTGTTTGCTGTTTCGCAACGCGCGCATCTGGACCCCTTCCCTGGGACCAGCACCTGGGTCTGGACATCTTCACCCCGAGCCGCTGTTTGACGGCTCCAGGGCCCGGTACGGGCATGTACGGGCCCCCAGAGGCAGAGAGATGGCTCAAAACCTCCCGTCGTGATGCTTCCACAGCGAGAGGAGGCGGGAGAGCAGCAGAGCAGGGCACGAGGAGGACGAGGGCGGTGCGAGCACGGGGGGCGGCGGCGGCGATGCCGTGGAGAGGCGGGTCCCGCACCCCGAGCGCGCTCTGGAAGAGGCGCGGGGGAGAGTCCGCGTAGGTGGCCCAGTCGCCCCGTGCGGATCCAGTCGGGGCGTCCTGGAGGGACAGAGAGGGAGGGAGGGAGAATCGGGTCTGGGACAGAGGGGGGGGGGAGGAACGGGAGGGTGGGAGGAGGGGGAGGGCAGGAGGAAGGGGAAGGGGGTGCGGAAGACGAGGGGGGAGGGGAGGAGGACAGGGGGGGGCCGGGGTGGGGGGAGAGGGAAGAGGGCCGGGGGGGGTGCGGAGGAGAAGGGGGAGAGGGGGAGGGGACGAGGTGGGGAAAGAGGAAGGGTCAAGCTAGGTGCGCTCGCGCCATACCTGACATCCTATCCCTCCCTCCCATCCCTTCCCATTGCGCTGATCTTTTCTCTATCCGCGGACGCGTATCAGTCGACCTGGAACTCCAAAAAAGACCCCATCGTGTTACGGGGAATCGGAAGCAGGGGAGCTGTGTAGATAGAAAGAGAATGTGGCGGTTGATCAGGACGATGAGCAGGAGGAAAGGATAGTGGGGCAGGATGAGGCAGGATAATGACGGGGACGCACATGAGCAGCAGGAGCTGGAGTTGAAGGGGTGGGAACCAGGGGAAGGCTGAGGGTAAACGAGGGGGGCGACAACGAGGAACAAGGACTCGAATCCAGAAAAGTGGCTTGCGCTAAGGCGAGAGCGCCACTCTGAACGACGGGAGCACAGCGCCGATCCGAAAATGGTGCCCAAGCTACAGCGGGAGCACCATTTTTTGCAATACCGAAGGCAATCAGACTGCAAAAACACATCGGGCATATCAAGTCGGCTCAACCTTTTGTGTAAAAGACAGGACGCGGAGGGTGGCGGAACTTCTTCCGCACGTAGTCGGGGGAGTGAGGGGAGTAGCACCCATGCTGTCAAACTGCGGAGGAGGAGAAGGGACAGGAGAGCGAGGCTGAAGAAAATAGGGGGGACCCAGACCCCGGGGAGTCATGATCTTTTCATGACAACGACCCCCAAGGGGGAGGGGGGCTTCCCTGAAGGCCGCCTGGATGGGGTCCGAGTAGATGGGGCTGGAGGATCCCGCCGCATCGCCAATTCATCGCCGATGCATCGGCGATGCGTCGGCGACGTCGGCGGTGTATCGGCCAAGCCGGCGCGGCGAAAACCGTGCTCCGCATTGAGCCGCATCGCCGATGCATCGGCAATGCGTCGGCGATGCAGCGCAATCCTCCGACCCCATCTACTTCGGCCTCATTTGTAAGGCCTACAGTAGGGGCCCGACCACAAGAAACCTTCGACAAGAAACCCAACCCTAAGAGACCAGGGCGTCCATGGATTTTTGGTGTTGGAACGTCACGGTTCCCAGAGAAAGACCATCGAAACCCAAGAAACCCAGGGCACCCTGGAGGCGAGCAGGGTGTTTCTTGGCATGGATCTCCAGTGTAGAGGCTCCCACCGCGCTGTGCGCCCGCCAGCACCAGGACGAAAAAATAAGTCTGGGGCCAGAGGAGGGGCTGAGAGGGCGAACAGACCGGCTTACGGCTGGTCCCTTCTTCTTCTCCTCCTCCCCACTCTCATCCCCGGCGCCCTGCCCCGTCTCCTCATCTAGCTCCCACCCCCCGTCGAACTTGTCCTACTCTTTTTTTTTTTTTTTTTTTTTTTTTTTTTTTTTTTGTTTTTTTTCTCTCTCTCTCTCTCTCTCTCTCTCTCTCTCTCTCTCTCTCTCTATATATATACACAATATCGAAATCGGGGGCGGCCTTTTGCAGGCCCTGCCGAGGCTCG